TTTCATTGGCAGAGGTTTACTTACAGGAGGCCGTTGCAGCCGAAAACGGAGCTCAGGAGCCTGTTTTCTCTGGCCGAGGGCTCGGGCCACCACAGGCACCCCTGACACGAGTGATGTCGAGCTGACCACACCCACTCTGGCCACGCCCACTCTGGCCCTCCGAGGTAAAATACAATCCTGATGCGGCCTTCAATGAAATCGAGTTTGACACCCCTGCTCTAGATCTATCCAGAGCTCTGTTATTGGCTTCAGAGGCCTGCAGGAAAGACTTGCTGGCTTCAGAAGAAGTTCCTGAAGGCGTCTGACAGTGAAAAGAAAGCCAGGGACAAGCGAGGTTAGTCAGTGGATGACATCCCCGAAAATAAGACCTTTTGCCTTTTTTGTGGCAAAAAAAATATAAGGCAGGATCTTATTTGGGGGGAAATATGGTAAAGAGTATCTGCTGATTTGGAAGACCTTGGTCCTCAACATTTTAAAGGTGGACTTTAACACTTCTCCAGAATCTGCCACAAATTGTAATTCTGTGGGTGTAGAAGAGGGGAGGTGTTGAATTCATTGTCAAGTATTAGGCCCAGATAAAATTTCACTGGAGTCAGACTCAAGGTTTATGCTTGCGTGGAAACTTTATGCTACAGTATGGAGGTGGATGGCTTTTTTCTCCCCTGAAATGTTTCATTAGTTTTTTGACTGGGGTATAAGTAGTCCTCGTTTAATGGCGACAATTGGGAATGGTAATTAGGTGATTAAGGGAAGCAACAGCTAAATGAAACGGCAACAATGCTCGTGATCTTACTTAGCATTCCTTTGCTTTATACACCTGTGAAAGTCCTAAAGGTGAACCTTGGTCATAATGTTATTTTTTCATCAGGGTCATAACTGTGAATGGTGTTAAACAAGGAAGTCACTAACTGAGGTCTACTCGTACTTCTTACTGATTCAGATAGTAACCAGGTCCAATTCTGCGTAACGTTTCAAGTTCAGGTAGGCTTAATTAATTCAACTTCATTTGATAATTTACATCCAAACTAGCAAATAAGCCTATTATTCGTTTATTTTATTTATTTATTTAGAAATTTTATATTGCCGCCTATTCGCATATGGCGGCTCAAGGCAGCTTACACGAATATAAAAATATCATATATAAAAATAAAACTAATAGAAGAAAATAATAAAATAATATAATAGCTTAAATAGTTTATATATTCCAAAGCAGGTTAATGCAGTAAAAAACCAACTGCCGTTTCTGGCTTATTGTCCCTGACTAATGGCATGGTTAGAAAGATTGCTATTTGTTTGTTTGTTTGAAATCTTAAGCATCTCTGTTCCTAAATCTCATTTCCTTTAATCCCAATAAAGAGTAACTGAATTGCACCCTAAATGGCTTGCAACTGCAAAAACATCTGAGAAACATTAAATCACCCCCCTTCCTACTTATGATAGCCACAAATCAATTTTTATCAAAACTTCTGTAACCATAAATGAATGCTCAGAGTTCTGTTAGCCCTGCTGTTGGATGATAAAACTGGAAGATGTGTTAATCCAAGTGATACATTCATAAATTAAATTTGATGGCAGCTTTCAAGAAATGGCCTGAGATTAGCTAATTAAAATGGAATTAAAAGATAGCTGGAGCAGGGTCTTGGGTTGCCAGATGCAAAGAAAACGGAGAGGCCCCTGCAGTTTTCGAAGCCCTGGGCTCATCCATCAAGAAATCAGAAGCTCTCGTCCTCATTCCCACCTGCCAATCCCAGATGGGAACACATGAAGAGGAACCAAACGGCATCTAAGTGTGTGCAGGATGTCAATTAACTAAAATCATTTGGGTACACTCTGGATGGGAAACGAATTGCTTTGCCCTTTTGTACAACTGTACATCCCAATAAATATTTCTAAGTTTGCATTAACCGTATGCAAAAGTTATGCACACGGAGATTAGAGGCATATGGCTTACGTCTTTCAAGTACTCAGTAAAGCCTCTTGGAAGGCATTTTCATACTGAGCCAAACTGCCTAGCTTTAAAAAGATATAATTTGTATAATCCAGCCCCCAAGGCTTAGCTCTCCTGTAGAAGAACTTTGGGAGAAGAATAGATATTTGAAACAGGCCATTTCACTGTTTAGAATATTCTTATAATCAGGGGTGGGATTCTACCAGTTCGCACCTATTTGCTAGAACCGGTTGTTAACATTCTAAGCAGTTTGGAGAACTGGTTGTCAGAAGAAATTATTGGCCTAATCCTGTAAAGAAGGCAGGAAGAAAACATTCTGGTGTTGCTTACAGAAACTTCCTCTCCGTTAACCCTTATTACATTCTTGACAGGACTAGATTTCTTGTCTCAGGAACTTCTCTGGAGTTTTTTTCCCCTCCTTTGCTGGTACTTTGCTTGTGTGGAGTGACCATTCAAAGTTACAATGGCACTGAAAAAAAGTGACTTATGACCATTTTTCACACTTATGACTTTTGCAGCATCCCCACAGTCATGAGAGGCCAGGCGAGGAGATGCATGCCTCGATGTGAGTGATATTGAGTTGGCCACGCCCAGCCAATAACATGACCACCAAGCCACGCCCACCAACTAAGCCACGCCCACAGAACCAGTTGTTAAAAAATTTGAATCCTACCCCTGCTTATAATCCAAGGGAGAGCTGTTTAACCTGAACAATGCTTCCTTTTGAGCATTTTTCTCCAATTCGTGGCTCCCAGTTCAATGTTCTCTTCATAGACTGGTCTGAAAAGCTGGGGCACGCTTCCCAAATGCATTGGCAGCTATAGCTATAGTAATAATGCCTTTACAATTCTAGAACACGGAAAAAATCTATCCTGAATCCTGGTGCAGAGCAATACTTGAACATGAAAGAGAAAAGTGGATATTTACTTCCACGGAATGACTTCCAGCGCGTCTGTATCATTTTTTTTATTTCACTTGGCTGCTAAACTGATTTAAATTCTTTACAGAGTTGGTAAAAGGTGGAATGAAATAATATAGAAGTTTGTGCCAAGTGACATTCTTTTGTGGGTTGAACAGCCTTCAACACATCTTAATGAATCTATTATGACACACCTTGCATTTAAGGGCATCAATAAGCCATATCAAACATTGTCTAGTTGTCCGCACTGACTTAAGAGCTCTTTTTGAGACTATCATATGAAATTCTTTCAAATGGAAAATAAGAGGTATCCAACATTTGTGGGGGAGAGAGAGGGTTCAAGGTTAAGAAGCACATTTTAAATGCTTCTTCTCTTCTTGTTGGTTTTCAACTCAATCCCAGATCTGGTTGGCCTCCTAACCACAACAACTTGAATTTAAGGGGCTCTATCAACCAACTGGATCCCTCTTGTAGGTCAAAATTACTCTTCATCATATTATATTGAAATGGGGTGGAAGAAACCAAATGAATTTTTCAGCAAAGTAACCAATGAGAAGAAAAAAACAAGAGTTCTTAAGCATGCCATAATTCAATTCTATAATTGCACTACTTTGTCGTAGTAAGCTTCATCCCTTATTACAACCACAATTCGTTCTTGACAAGAATATAAAAGATGAGCTGAATCCAAAGGAGAACTAATTGTACAGATAATTTCTTGGTATTAGACCAGCATTTTCAATCTGGGAACCTTCAGCAAGTCTACCACTTTCACTCTTTTCAGATAGCATGAAAAACACCCCCTTGGGAAAGAGTATTTGAGTTTCTAATGGGAGACAATTCTAAGAATTTCTGCATTGAAAATGAAGTAAACCTATTTTAGAATGGCCTAGTCATCCAAAGAACTCAACCCAACATTTCTGATACTACAGAAATAATCACCTAAGAAAAGCAATTGGTTGTTTCACCCAATATTAATATATTTCAACATATGGAATGTTATCATTCTGAAAAATGTTACAAATAGTCCTTGACTTACAACAGTTCATTTAGTGACTGTTCGAAGTTACAACGGCACTGAAAAAAGTGACATGACAATTTTTCACACTTATGAATGTTGCCGCATCCCCAGGGACAAGCGGTTTACATTCGGATGCTTGACAACTGATTCATATTTATGACAATTGCAGTGTCCCAGGGTCTTTTCCATCTTTTTCAAACTTGTGGCTAGTAAAGCCAATGAGGAAGCCAGATTCACTTAACAACCGGGTTACTAATTTAACAACAGCAGTGATTCACTTAACAAATGTTGCAAGAAAAATGGGACAAAACTCACTTAACAAATTTCTCACTTAGCAACAGACATTTTGGGCCCAACTGTGATTGTAAGTCAAGGACTACCTGTATTTGATCTGATCTTAGAGATACTTTTGATTTAGACACAATGCAAGGAGAGAATTGAGGCAGGTGCAGTCTCCCATTGATACAGGACCACCTTGGATAATCAGGCTCAGCCAATACATTTTCAACATCATTCTTCTAGAACAGTGATGGCAAACCTTTTTGTTGTGCTGTGCCGAAAGTGTGCATGCATGCTAGCACCCACAATATAATGTGCCCCGCCCCCCCTGCGCATGCACGTGCAACAACTCCACACAGCCCCCTTACCTGCACTTCGCATGTGCGTGCCTCCCAGCTGATTTTTGGCCCATTTGAGGCCATTTTCGCCCTCCTGGAGGCTTGAGGGAAGCCTCTGCAGCCTCGGGAGGCCGAAAAACGGGCCTTCCAGAAATACCGGAAGTCTCCATTTTCAGCCTCTGGAGGGCCTCTGGAGCCCGGGGAGGCCATTTTCATTGCAGCCTTGGGAGGCTGAAAACGGGCCCATTTCGGCACTTCCAGTATTTCCGGAAGACCCATTTTTCAGCCTCCCGAGGCTGCAGAGGCTTCCCTCAAGCCCCTGGGAGGCCAAAAACAGCCTCAGATGGCCTGAAAATCAGCTGGGAGGCATGTGCATGAGCAGTGCAGTTAAGTTTGGCTGGGGCTCGTATGCCCGCACAAATGGCTCTGTGTGCCACCTATGGCACACATGCCATAGGTTCGCCATCACAGTTCTAGAACCTATCAAGAAAAGGAAGTCTATCGCCACCCAACCCACATTACCTGTCTGGGCTGTTCGATCACTCTTTGTGGGTCAGACTTCACTTTGTTGTTAGGATGGTTTGTAACTTTGGTTACAGGCTGTTTAAAAATAGAAGCTGTTTGTCTGATTGGCAACGTTGTGTTTAAATCTGGTTTACCCTGTATTGGAGAGGAAGGAGAGAAAAAATAATTATATATTACCTTAGGTTGATCTACCAGCCAGATCGGTGTGAAAAGTCAATACTTTGATCAAAATGATAAGATCCTAATATTTTTTGAGCTGAACATGAAATGTCTCATTAATTAGTTCAACAAAAATTTGAATGTTATGGACTGGTTTATATTTGTATGATCCATAATGCCTCAAAGCCTGGGATCTTTGCTTATGATGCCAAGAAAGAAAAAAATAATCCTGATCCTCAAGCCAAATTATTTCAAAATGGCAAAAAAACGTTATTTTAGTATTTGTCAGACTTCTAGAAATCTCCACCACATGGAAACTTTCCATGCAATGAAAAATTGCATCATTCTGATACTGTGATACTGTTGATCCAAAGCTGAATGAAAAGGAAGGATAGCTTCCTTGAATGTTTTTGAGAGAGAAAAATAATCCACCATTCCTGTTTTGAGAGGTTATTTTTAAGGATTGTCTAAAAAGTGGAGAAATGTGTTTATAAAACCAATGTAAAACGAGGTCGATCAAGGATGGAGAAGACAAAAGATTAATGTGGTTGAATTCATTGATCCCTGACCAAGTGATATCTGTAAGAAAAATGAGAAAAACTGGACCAGAGCAATATCTGAAGAGAAACAGTAGAGTGCCATCAATAGGAGAGAGAATATTTGAGTGGAACTGTGGGGTCTTCAGTGCTCTCTGACCTTCGTTGTTTTCTTGCCCAAATAGATAAAATAGATAAAATCATCACAACCCCACATAGTAGAATGGGAAAAATAATAGATCTATGCCCCTACCTCTCAACAATTAAAATTTCAATGTGATGTAATGCTGTACAGCAGGGGTGTCAAACTCAAGGCCCAGAGGCCAGTGGTGGGATTCAAAAATGTTTACTACCATTCTCTCCCCGCTCCTGGGGGAAGGTTACTACAAAATCCCATTCCCTCCCTACACCACTAACCTGCTTTCCAGCTCCGTTCTCCTGTGCAAGGAAACCAAAGAAGACCCAGCCGATCAGCTGGGACTCGGGAGGCAGAGAATAGATGAGGGCGGGGCCAATCAGAGGACATATTTGTCAGTTCTCTGAACTACTCAAAATTTCTGCTACCGGTTCTCCAGAACTAGTCAGAACCTGCTGAATACCACCTCTGCCAGGGGACAGGTCCCGCGGATGGGGTGCTTAGATCTGGCCCATGGGGCCTCTCTGGAAATAGCAAAAGACCAGCCCACAGTGCTTCTGCCAGCAAAAATGGAGCCAGGAGGACCCCAGGTGGCCCTCCTGAGTTCTGTTTTTGCTAGCAGAGGGTTGCAGGAGGCCGTCACAGCCGAAAATGGAGTTTGGGAGCCCGTTTTTGCTAGCAGAGTACTTGTTAAGCTGGCCATGCCCACCTTTGCCACACCCACTCTGGCCCCCCAAAGTCAAACTCAACCCTGATGCGGCCCTCAATGAAATCGAATTTGACACCTCTGCTGTACAGAGTCACAAAATTCTGTATATGCCAGGTACAAAAAAAAAAAAAAAATCAAGAACCAGGGTAGACTTCAAAAGCACTGTGAATGTATTTCATGCTACCTATATATCTGCACTACTAATGGTGAAGGCAAATTGGTGCCAGAAAAGAGTCAATTGGCTTCAATGCGGGCTGGGCTTAGGTCTCCTATGGGGGCATACAGGTTCCAGACTGATAATGCATTTGACACCCCCCCCCCTTCAAGGCTCAGCCACATCATCTCCTACAGTATAGTAGCGTATTAAACTATCTTTTACAGACTATCCCCATTTGAAGATGTTCCATAAACTGTTCTGGATTTTGCATCTGTTCATTTTCACTCAACAAATACCACCACAGCAAATGAAAAGGAGATGCTGACAGAGCCACACTACAAGGGTTTTAGGTGAAATTCCAGAAAATGAGAATTTTGAAGTGAAAAGTACCATGTTCTCAATCAGGGGTCTTCAAACTTGACAGCTTTAAGACTTGTGGACCAGCTCCCAGAATTCCTGCTCCAGTCATGTTACCTCAGGAATTCTGGAAGTTGAAGTCCACAAGTCTTAAACTTGCCAAGTTTGAAGATCCTTCTACTAAATGATAATTTTGTTTAATCTTACATAATTATAAAATATTTTAATATTTTAATTAATATTTTCATTGTATCATAATATATGACTCTCACATGGCGTATTTCTTCAATATCTGCAGTGGGATTTTTAAAAAAATTAACTGAACCATTTAAAACATTTACTTTCCATAGTATTGAGTATTGCAAATCTACTTCCACAAAAACAGAAAGCAACCTTTTCATTTCAGTATTTATTTTTCTTTTTTTAAAAAAAGTAATTATCATACTGTAGATCAAGGCTGTCAAACTCCCAGCTCGTGGGCCGGATGCATCATGCACTGGCCAGGCCCATGCCCAGTTTAGCAAAGGGGGGAAAGTCCTGATATGTCACGTGATGCCGCCATGGTTATGTGAGTTTGACACCGCTGATGTAGATGATCCTCATCACATGTCCCAAAATTGATGTTTTGTTTGGAAAGCTTTGACAAACAGTGGCATAAAGGTAAAGGTTCCCCTCGCACATACGTGCTAGTTGTTTCCGACTCTAGGGGGCAGTGCTCATCTCTGTTACAAAGCCGAAGAGCCAGCGCTGTCTGAAGACGTCTCCGTGGTCATGTGGCTGGTATGACTAAACACCGAAGGCACACAGAATGCTATTACCTTCCCACGAAAGTGGCCCCTATTTTTCTACTTACATTTTTACATGCTTTCAAACTGCTAGATTGGCAGAAACTGGGACAAGAAACGGGAGCTCACTCCATTATGCGGTGCAAGGGATTCGAACCGCTGAACTGCCAATCTTTCTGATCGACAAGCTCAGCATCTTAGCCACTGAGCCACCGCATCCCTTTAAAAAACAGTGGCATAGGTCCACCAAAAATGAAAATCTCATTGTGAGATATGGCATGCAAGCTTCCGTAATTAATTTTCTCTAAATTGTAAGGAGAAAATGAGAATTACACCAAAACTGCACCTCAGTTACTGAATATCCTTTCAACCTACACCAGATGTATTCTGCATACACCAAGGCTCTAACAGAGGCAAGATAATGGCTGAAATCATGTGTTCATATACCTTCCCCCTTTGTCTGTCATGATGCACATAAATTGGGATGAGGCTTCATTTATGCATGTAAGTTCACCATGTAAACTTCCTTGATCTCCCTTCTGACCCCACAGTAGTATCTACTGCCTTGTTTCCTCCTAAAGAAAGTTTTGCCTTGTTTTCTTCTAGAGAAGTAGTTGCTCTGATCATTAGCATCAAATTCCACATTATTCTCCTACTCTGTAAACCTAATAAACTTAGTGCAGAAATGGTCAGTTTTACACAAAAGATTTTTGAAGACTATCGTGTCCTGGAAGAATATATAAACCGTATTATAGGAGAATCAAACTCCCTTCAAAAAAATGGACATGTGAGGAAAACAAAGCCAGAACTTTCATTTGTATTTCAGAATAACAGAATTGGAAGGGACCTTGGAGGTCCTCTAGTCCAACCCCCTGCTCAGGTAGGAAAGCCTACACCAGGGGTGTCCAACCTTTCACCTTCCCTGGGCCACATTAGAAGATGAAAATTTGGTTTGGGCCGCACATATAATAAATT